CCCACCCACATGCACAGCACAGCGCTGGGCCTTATTCCGAGCCGCTTTTTGCGTTGGGATTGCGCTAAACTGCACGGCCGCGGCACTGTGACCGCGCCGTCGCCGATGGCTCGTGGCAACACCGTAACCATCGAGAGCCAGCAGGATAAAACGTCTGATCGCCAACAGCCAATCACAGTGATGACACAACCAGGAAGCCCATTTAATGCATTATCAGGAAGCTGTCCCTTTAAAAGGAAGATTTCTTAAAGGGCCAGCACGACGGAATGCTTTAAAGGGACATTAAACCATTTTCTATTCATGCGCATGGGAGACCCACATTGAAAGCATAACCTTTATAAAATGTTTTCTAGTGGGTCACCGCAGCGCTCACGCCCCCCGCACGGGCGCCCCCATCAGCTGTGCAGGCACCTGTGCGTGCGTGTTCCTGTCCATAGACACACACAGCCCTGAGGCAGGCCACACCCCCTCCGCCCAACCGGTTGATGGCAGAAGGAGCCTATAGGCTGCTCTGCCATCAGTATCCTCCCCCACAAGCAGGAAGTTCGGGAAGGGAGGATCGCTTCGGGAGCCGGCGGCGGTGACTCAGGTGAAGGGTGGGAGGGGCGGAAAGGGTACCGGGCTTTTTTTTTTAAACTTTCATCTGGCGATCCCGCCCGGGTGACAACACCTGCTCACTGCATCTATGGAGGAGCAGCGCTGTCACTCTAGGACAGAACACCTTCCCCTATCGCCTTATCTCCATAACATAGCGGGAGGTGTTCTGCAGTCCTTAGAAATAGCTGGGAACGATGTAACGGATGAATGAGGGCGCACAGGAAATGATCAGCTCACAGGATTTCTGGCAGGATCAGCAGGGATTGTTGGACTTATTGGATATAACAAAATCCTTCCAATGGTGCAGGAAGCAGATAATAAGGGGAGCACAATGCGTCCATCTTTGGGGTTCACATAGACCAGGGGGGAACTCCGGCCCTCCAGCTGCGGCGGAACTACAAATCCCACGAGGCATTGCAAGATTCTCACAGCCACGACTCCCGGAGAGAGAGAGACGCATCGTGGGATTTGTAGTTTCACCCCAGGCTCAGAAGAGCAGCTCTGGACGACAAAACCTAAACCACGCGATGACAGGTCCCCTTTAAGCCGTCAGTAGAGCGCCTGCTGGAGAGTCTCCCGGGACTTCGGCGTTATCTTTGTTTTCATTCCGCCGGCTCCCGTTTCATCGGCACCGACGTCACTCTGGCGCACGGACGCGCCGGGAACGCCGAGGTTGTTTACAGAAGAAGGAACTTTGTGAATCGCTGATGACGCGTTTCATCCGCTTCCAGAATCCCGGAGGCCGGAGCCGTGACCGAGAATCCCAATACAAAGCAACTACGACGTCCATCCTGACCGCAATACTGCCCGCCCCCCTCGCAGCCTGATCTCTGATACGCAGCGGGTTAACCCCGTCACAGCCAGGGGCCACTGAAGTCTGGATCAGGGGTAGCCAACCTCCGGCTGTGGGGGTGGAACTACAAATCCCACGAGGCATTGCAAGATTCTCACAGCCACGACTCCCGGAGAGAGATGCATCGTGGGATTTGTAGTTCCACCCCCACAGCTGGAGGGCCGCTGGTTGGCTACCCCCGGTCTAGATGACGTCCAGACAAATTTATCAGAATGTTAACTTGGCAATAAAATGATTTTTATACATTCATATGGTGCGCGGTGCTGACGCTGAACTCGGGGCACAAAAATACAATAAAAAAAGGATATCAACCCACTTTGTATTCACAAAATGCCTTTTACATTGTGCAGAGGTGTGGGAGGGGCTGATCAGGCTCCACCCACTACAGGACACTAAATGGGGGCGGGGACAAGACCAGCCACCCTGCACAAGGAGAGAGCAGCAGTGTCCGGTCTTTATTACAGGAGGGGGCGGAGACAAGACCAGTCCCTCTGCACAAGGCGAGAGAGCAGCAGTGTCCGGTCTTTATTACAGGAGGGGGCGGAGACAAGACCAGTCCCTCTGCACAAGGCGAGAGAGCAGCAGTGTCCGGTCTTTATTACAGGAGGGGGCGGAGACAAGACCAGTCACTCTGCACAAGGAGAGCGAGCAGCAGTGAGCGGTCTTTATTACAGGAGGGGGCAGAGACAAGACAAGTTACGCTGCACGAGGAGAGAGAGCAGTAGTGACCGGTCTTTATTACAGGAGGGGGCGGAGACAAGACCGGCCACCCTGCACAAGGAGAGAGAGCAGCAGTGACCGGTCTTTATTACAGGAGGGGGCGGAGACAAGACCAGTCACCCTGCACAAGGAGAGAGAGAGCAGCAGTGACCGGTCTTTATTACAGGAGGGGGCGGAGACAAGACCAGTCACCCTGCACAAGGAGAGAGAGCAGCAGTGAGCGGTCTTTATTACAGGAGGGGGCGGAGACAAGACCAGTCACCCTGCACAAGGAGAGAGAGCAGCAGTGAGCGGTCTTTATTACAGGAGGGGGCGGAGACAAGACCAGTCACCCTGCACAAGGAGAGAGAGCAGCAGTGAGCGGTCTTTATTACAGGAGGGGGCGGAGACAAGACCAGTCACCCTGCACAAGGAGAGAGAGCAGCAGTGAGCGGTCTTTATTACAGGAGGGGGCGGAGACAAGACCAGTCACCCTGCACAAGGAGAGAGAGCAGCAGTGAGCGGTCTTTATTACAGGAGGGGGCGGAGACAAGACCAGTCACCCTGCACAAGGAGAGAGAGCAGCAGTGAGCGGTCTTTATTACAGGAGGGGGCGGAGACAAGACCAGTCACCCTGCACAAGGAGAGAGAGCAGCAGTGAGCGGTCTTTATTACAGGAGGGGGCGGAGACAAGACCAGTCACCCTGCACAAGGAGAGAGAGCAGCAGTGAGCGGTCTTTATTACAGGAGGGGGCGGAGACAAGACCAGTCACCCTGCACAAGGAGAGAGAGCAGCAGTGAGCGGTCTTTATTATAGGAGGGGGCGGAGACAAGACCAGTCACCCTGCACAAGGAGAGAGCAGCAGTGAGCGGTCTTTATTACAGGAGGGGGCAGAGACAAGACAAGTTACGCTGCACGAGGAGAGAGAGCAGCAGTGACCGGTCTTTATTACAGGAGGGGGCGGAGACAAGACCAGTCACCCTGCACAAGGAGAGAGAGCAGTGGGCGGTCTTTATTACAGAAGGGGCGGAGACAAGACCAGTCACCCTGCACAAGGAGAGAGAGCAGTGGGCGGTCTTTATTACAGGAGGGGGCGGAGACAAGACCAGTCACCCTGCACAAGGAGAGAGAGCAGTGGGCGGTCTTTATTACAGGAGGGGGCGGAGACAAGACCAGTCACCCTGCACGAGGAGAGAGAGCAGCAGTGAGCGGTCTTTATTAGAGGGGGCGGAGACAGGACCAGTCACCAGTTCTTTTAACCCCTCGAGCTCTGGGGCATTTATAAATATCCTCCGGGTGGTTGAGGAGGTGGAAAGGACAGAACCGTCACATTGGACTGGTTTGCACCTTTAAGTGGTACCGGCTTCATCAGGAAAATATGAATGCGAGTGCGCGGCAGGATACAACAATAAAAGACTCTTCCGCCGTCCTAAATATCAGGAGAGGATTCCACGGAGATGAGCGCGAGGGTCGGGCCCAGTCACCCCCATCGGAGTTTATTGGTCTCAGCTTTTCCTTATAACCAATTTATTATATTCCAGTGAAGGGAATTCTTAAGGCCTTGGGGGGCCATTAGAGGGCGGAGCCAACCCAATACTGAACCCTACGGACTAAGACTGGGGGGCCATTAGAGGGCGGGGCAATAATAAGAAAGGGGGTCAGCTGCGTTTTTTTTAGCCTGTTTGCCGTATTCTGGTCGAAGTGACCAAACACCAAAATTCCTCTTTTTTTTCTTTTTCACGGCCTCATATAACAGAACTCTGCGCGGACGGTATTTTCTTTGCGTCTGGCGAACGCCGCTGATATTTATCCAGTCTTCGTATCAATAGAACCAATAACGTTAATCCATTTAATAAGCAGATCCTCGCCAGTCTGCGTTCCCTCCTCGCCGCCACCTGTGCGAATTGG